GGGGGGATACAAAGCTCAAGGTTGTATTTAGACTCTTGACCTCACATCCAACTAGAAAGTTCACTACATTTGTTTCTCATATATTGCTTTAAAGCTTTGGCCTTGTTTATTTTGAGTACAGAGAAGCACATCTACTATCTACACAATAATTGTTTTACGCCCCTATCGGAACAGTCTTGATCAGAAGAACACCTACACAATAATTTGTGAGGCAGCGTGGTGGAATCAGGCTCTTGTCAAAATAAAGTGAAGAAACCTGCATTTTCCCGCAGGTTTGTGAATTTTTATCACATTTTTGTTTTTTTGGCTCAACACCTTTCATTCCCATTAAAGAACTCATTTCTGGGTGGATTTTTCTGAAAAGCGTTGATTAAAGGCACAAAAATGTAAATTTTCAGTTGTGGTAACTGAAAATTTACAGACTCTTAAGCTAGGGAAATAACTAATCTTTGGCGGCCATTTTCTCATCAATTTTACCTCTGAAAACAGCTAGGTGACCCCCACCTCCTTCTTTTGCAAATATCTCGACTTGTATTCAAGATAAATGATATTTTTGTTCATCCAAATAAAGAGAAGTGAATAAGCTTTAAGATAATACCAATAACTCTACATGCCCAATAATTGACGAGAGCCTGATTCCACCACGCTGCCTCACAATTGTTTTATGCCCCTGTCGGAACAGTCTCGATCGCGACAGAAACAAAAATGTCGCCAGAAAAGTGTCCCTAAACAAGTGCCCAGATCTACCTCGGACTTCCTTTACAAATCGTTTCTTCTTTTTTTTCTTTCTCTTTCTTTTTCTTTTCTAATGTTTTAGTTGCGTGTTATCGTCTAAATGAGGCCACATGATTGTCCGGGGTCCTGATATAAGATCGTGAACTCTGTTATGTAACATGCGTGCAGTGAACTTTTCCCTACTTCTTGAAACACTTCAGTGTATCGGGGTGCAACCACTGAGCTTTCTATGATAGGAGAGATGATAGTAGGAGAGATAAATCAGTAGATCTAGTGAGAATCCGCCAGGGGTTGTTTGTTTGTTGTTTTGTTTTTTTAGTAAACTTTTGGATATCAAGAAATGTTTTTGTCAGTTATGGTAATTAATGATAATTACATTTAGTTAGCGCATGCCCACGCTGTACAAAATGTCTATGCACTTTACTACAGTTATTAGTCATGTTACCTCAGCAGACCGTAGAACACTCTGCCAGAATCATGCCTTTCTTCCTATCAGATAGGACAATGAAATACGGAGGGTCCATCTCTTAAATAGCCTTTGGCGGTGGTGGGGGTGGGTTTGGTTTGCTCCTTCATTCCTATCAAACATCTTTCTTCCTTATCTCTGCTCCTTCTTTCCTATCAAACATCTTTCTTCCTTATCTCTGCTCCTTCTTTCCTATCAAACATCTTTCTTCCTTATCTCTCCTCCTTCTTTCCTATCAAACATCTTTCTTCCTTATCTCTGCTCCTTCTTTCCTATCAAACATCTTTCTTCCTTATCTCTGCTCCTTCTTTCCTATCAAACATCTTTCTTCCTTATCTCTGCTCCTTCTTTCCTATCAAACATCTTTCTTCCTTATCTCTGCTCCTTCTTTCCTATCAAACATCTTTCTTCCTTATCTCTGCTCCTTCTTTCCTATCAAACATCTTTCTTCCTTATCTCTGCTCCTTCTTTCCTATCAAACATCTTTCTTCCTTATCTCTGCTCCTTCATTCCTATCAAACATCTTTCTTCCTTATCTCTGCTCCTTCATTCCTATCAAACATCTTTCTTCCTTATCTCTGCTCCTTCTTTCCTATCAAACATCTTTCTTCCTTATCTCTGCTCCTTCATTCTTATCAAACATCTTTCTTCCTTATCTCTGCTCCTTCTTTCCTATCAAACATCTTTCTTCCTTATCTCTGCTCCTTCTTTCCTATCAAACATCTTTCTTCCTTATCTCTGCTCCTTCTTTCCTATCAAACATCTTTCTTCCTTATCTCTGCTCCTTCTTTCCTATCAAACATCTTTCTTCCTTATCTCTGCTCCTTCTTTCCTATCAAACATCTTTCTTCCTTATCTCTGCGCCTTCTTTCCTATCAAACATCTTTCTTCCTTATCTCTGCGCCTTCTTTCCTATCAAAATCTTTCTTCCTAATCTCTGCTCCTTTTTTGTGTTTGTTACTCGCTTGTAACGCCTCTAATCTTCGGCACTTATATTATGATATACTTGACGAGGTCCATACCCCTTGAAAAACAAACAAACGAAATGAATTAATTTAGTTAATTTGATTAATTAATTAATTAATTACAAGTCACCTACATAACTAAACGAAGAACAAAAAAGATTCCCACTCACTCACAAAGTCTGTCTCCCATCTCTCTCCCCAGTCCGCCACTCACTCACAATGTCTGTCTCTCATATCCCACTCACAAGTGACAATATCTGTCTCCCATCTCTCCCCCAGTCCGCCACCCACTCACGATGTATCTGTCTCCTCATCTCTCCCCCCAGTCCGTCACTCACTCACAATCTCTGTCTCTCCCATCTCTCCCCCCAGTCTGCCACTAACTCACAATCTGTCTCCTCATCTCTCCCCAGTCCGCCACTCACTCACAAAGTCTGTCTCCCATCTCTCTCTCGCCCAGTCCGCCATTCACTCACAATGTCTGTCTCTCATATCTCACTCATTAGTGACAATATCTGTCTCTCCCCCCCAGTCCGCCACTCACTCACAATCTCTCTCCCCCCCAGTCCGCCACTCACTCACAATCTCTCCCTCTTCATCTCTCCCCAGTCCGCCACCGGCAGAACGCCACCCCCAGCACGTCCAATCTCCTGTACCGACTCATCATGAACGGCGTGCACTTCGTCCTCCGCTTCTACATCACGTGCCTGCTCATCGCCTACGACTGGGCCGTGCGCGTCATCCGAGGCTTCACCACGCCCTTCGAGCCCGTCATGAAAGAAGTTCGCAAAGTCCCCAAAAAGGACATAAGTGTGGAGGGAATCTTCTACCAGGTGCTGCGTCTGCAGTTCCTTATGGTGCTGTACGTGTCGCCCTTTGCCATCGGCGCCGCTCGTTACCTCAGCCAGCCCTTCTTCTGGGTCAAAGACTGGATGGTGGACTACGTGAGGTACGACGAGGAGGCGAGGCAGGAGAAAGATCCCACGATTCTGAAGGAGGGTTAATTGAGACCAGACACAGACACGGACACAGACACTCCACAAGCCCCCATCCCCCTTCTACCCATATCCCC